TTTAAATACTTAGGATGAGATGATTTTAGGACGCGCGGTGAGCTTGTGAGTTTATTTATCGCTTTCTGTTAAAACTTTCCTATATGTGCTCTCTGCTTAGACTTTATTCTTATAATTAAACACCATGTATGGGTGCCTGCCCCTAACCCACATCTATAACCGATGTTAAACCCTATAGAATCTAAGATGGCACCACCAAGAAACCATGCAAGGACCCCTAGGACGCCAACTAACGAACAGTTGGCTCAGAACTTGCATCAGTTAACTCAGATTGCCCATGCACTGAGTGACAACCTCCCTCACCACAACAACCACGATGTGGTATGCCAAGTATCGGACCATCGTTCCCCTATCTTCGCCAGGGAGTTTGAAGTTCAAGTTAGGAGTAGAATTCCTTCCCGGTAAATCTTCTATCTTTCATCTTACCCTCTGTTCTTGCCACACCCATGCGAACCGCTAACCTATTCCAAACCCTTACCAATCTTTTCACCTTAATCTGAGGCCTTGATTATTTTGGTTAATCATATGTCTTGCGAGGGCTAGTGAAACGTAAATGTGCTAAGGTTCACTAAATTGAACACTATTAAGCATGCGCTATGATTAGAATCAAGTCGAGCAACCTGGTTTTCTCTTAGTTTATGTTACCTAGAGTTAAGAACATGCAAGTCGGCCAGTCCGGTACTCGACTTTAGTTAGCCTCATTGTGTCCAAGCTTTGAGGACGAAGCTTCTTGTTAGGGGGGAAGAGTGTAACACCCCGTGTTTTACCCTTGTTAGGGGGGAAGAGTGTAACACCCCGTGGACCCTTGTCTATATTAAAGTCTTAAGCCTGTTAGAAATAAAGAAGGAGGGTCCATTATTAATCAGATTCTAATTGGGAATCCTGAACCTATATAAAGGGAATTAGAAAGCCTTTAGAACGCTCTTTCTCCCATCCCTCTCTACCACTCGAAAATCCTCTCCCAAAACCTAGACAAAGAATTCTCCGTCACCAAACGTTGGAAGAACCGATAGGAAGAGGACCTTGAGGAAAGACCTTAGGAATCGTGAGAAGTTAGACTAAGCTAAAAAGGTAACCCATGTCTTACAAAACCTATTTTCCTTGCTATCTTTTATTTATTGGCTCCTTTGAATGATTGTATGTGTGATCTTGTAATTATGCTTTGATAGAGCTTGTCTTAGGGTTCATATTGTGGTTTCTTGATAATCTTGATCTTCTTGATATTCGTAAGTGTTTATATGCATGTTCTTATGTTTAAATACGTTTAGAACTCGTCTTTAGGGTTTTACATGATGGTTTCTTGATGTTCTTGGGGTTCTTGATGCTCTTGAACAATTATACGTTTATCCTTGAGTCTAGGCATATTTAGAGTTTGCGTTTAGGGTTCAATTGTGTTGGTTCTTGGCTTATTGTATGTGTTCAAGTCCCTATTGTTGTTGATATGTGTTTGGCCTTGATTTTGGGTAAAATTGAGGAATTCCTGGGATGGGAAAAAATGCCAAGAAACATGTGTTCCAGCGGGTAGTCGGTGGGGGGACGATCCCCCCCCCCCCCGGGCCACCCGCCGGGACAAGGCCACCGTTCCAGCAGGTGGCCGGCGGGTGGACGACCACCCGCCGGAATACCTGCTGGAACAGGGCAGCCCGCCGGCGGGCAGTCCGGCAGGAGGTTGTCCTCCTGCCATACCGCCCGCTGGTACAGGCGGTAGGGCGTTTTGTTGGTCCCTGTTGGTTGTTTCCCCATGCCCCGTTGTACCCCGTTTGGTGTTTGTGAGTCTAGTACGATGCCTTAAGTGCCATAATGTGAATTTGTGAGTTGTGTCTATGCATGTGGTCCAAACTCGTATTGTGTCGTGTCGTAGTATGGTCTTTAGCGTCCTTTATGAGTCTTGTGGTCGCCTTGACGTCACTTGTTGTTGAGAGTCAATATGCATGATGTGCCCTTCCCCTGATTATCCCCTTGTGGAGTCGTTGTCGAGTCTTGTATGTTGTGTCAATGTCCATGTGTGATGAAAAGATATGAGATTGGTGGAAAATATATGTTAGCGGTTGCACTGCGTGTGCTCGTGTGTGTGATGGTGTTGCGGTACCTGTGTGTGATTTAATGACACCGTGGGTGCTGAGAGATCGGTGGTCTTGTTGGAGGTTATGTAGGCAGGGAGCATGCAGTGCTCCGGAGGGATAATGATGATGGTGTGTAGGGTGGCCTGGAGGTACAGGTTGGAACTGATATAAGGTTGGAGAGGCGTAAAGGTTGGAACTTGGTATAAGGTTGGAACATGGACATGTTTGTTGTTGTTGTGTGTTATTGTTGAGTCTTATTGTCGTCTTGTCTTGTGGTCATAGTTTGCATGCTCGTGTCTTTATGTGCCTTGCTGTGTCAAGTCTACTGATGTGCCTTGAGTCTTATTCCTGATTTTAAAGTTAGAGTCGTTTAGGACTATTTCTATGTATTCCCAAGTCTCAAAATGATTTCTTATATCTATATGTATTGTACTCAACGCGTGGGAGTGGGTTGCTTAGCATTATTCGCTAACGGTTGTAATATCGCATGTTTTTCAGGTATTGGTTAGTTGGCTCGTGAGCGCGGTAGTCGGGGCTGCAGTTCCTAGTTAGATAGTAGTTAGCTTTAGTTAGACGGCCTGTGAGCCATGCTTGTATTGGGATAATGATTATGATTTATGCTTTGTCTAGCTAAGTTTTAGCCTGTGAATCTAGGTTCTCAAACCTTGTTGTGGCATAGCTCCCCAACACTTATGTTTAGGTTCCGTCTATTTGGGATATTAATGATAGACTTGTTCTTATTTTGTATGCTTTAATGGGTTTAAATTATGTCAAAAATCGGGGGTGTTACAACTATGCACATTCAAAATTTTTGTCTTCCGATCCAACAACTCTTCATTACTATATTTCCAAAAAATGAAAGCAATAATATGCTTCATTGATTTTTCATAGCTTTAGACAAAAACACCAAAATAAACAGCTATATGTGAAGATATATTCTCTAAATTTAATTTCTATCAACAACGTAGCCTACAAAGTTTCTAACAAAAGAATTTGTTTAACACAAAAATCCCTCTAGTATAAGAAATAATCTCTAAAGAATTACTCCTATCAAATAGCAATGGTGGTATAGTTGGTTTTTTTTTTGAAAGTGGTGGTATAGTTGGTTAGTTGCACTTAGAATTGATTTTTCATTTAATGATTAAATTGGTTCTTTATAAATTTACTATATTGAATTGTATAACAAAATAATCTATAAGAAATTGCTTAAAGCATTATAATCTTAAGAAATGAGTGAAATGGCATCATCCATTTAAAAAAAAATTAAAATTAAAAATAATCAGAACAATAAAACAGTTGAGACATTAGATGAAATTCAGGTGCTGAAATATAATGGCAAGGCATCATCCATCAAATCTCTAATCATCCCAAAACCAGAAACCAAAATATATACTATAACAGAGTAGTCACCTGGACATATCCTTCAAAAGTTGTCTTCAAACAATTTCTCCTCATCACATTCTACCTCTGAGATGTTTATTCTTTCAGGCTGGAAACAGTAAATTAAGTTAAAATAATAGTGAACAGACATCAGTTAGATAGGTAGGAAATATATAGAGAAAAATGAGATCAAGTGAGAGAAAATAGAAGACTATTCTTTGCAGATAAACAAGTAGAATGAGTTGTGAAATGGTCAGAGATATATTAGAGGGATAGAAAAATACCTAATATTATCAGGAGCGAACAAGGATGGAATTTCCATAGTTGTTGAGTTTCTCATCTTGAATCCACTTTGCAGAAGTCAGAAGTGAATCTGGACAGTAGTTTAACTGAATCAATGCTAGTGTGGTGCTATCCACAAAACCACTAGGAATCTCTTGCAAATACGCACATTCATGTAACTCTAAACATTCGAGCACAGAAAAATGGTCACCCTCGGCATTCCAATATTCAAGATCTGTGCTTTGAATTACCAACCAACTCAATCGACGGAACCCTCCATTATATGGCTCCCATTTTGGGCCTTGGCAAGCATCTATCAATTTTAGAACCTCTAGATTCGGCGACATACCAATAAGCCTCATATTACTCCATGCCAAATTAGTACAGATGAATTTGAGCTTCTTAAGATTTGGTAGAAAATTAGTTGCCCATGGGATGTCACTATATGGAATATGGTTGAGATTAAACGACTCTCTAATGCTTAGCTCCTCAAGTTGCCTCAAGTGCACAAAATTATAAAAACAACCTAGACTTTCAGCATCTCCACCTTCCATCCCCATTTTTTTTTTTAAATTTGGAATCCTTGTAAATAGATCTGGTGTAAATCCCTAATGCTTAGCTCCTCAAGCTGCCTCAAGTGCACAAAATTATAAACACACATAAGGGTAGGTTGTGGTATTTAATACATTTAGCTATTATTGATGCCAAGAATTGCTAATACTATGGGGGATCAGGGCTGTGGAAATGATTATTCTCATTACAGAGGAATAATGAATTCCATGGAATTGTATTATGAGGTTATAAAAGCTAATCAAAAGTAAGAATAGACATATTTATATGGGTGCATATATACAACTGCACTTGACTACACAAATAAATAACATATGAGACTTGAGAGGAATTGAAGAAAAACTACTCAAGAAAACTATGCAATGTTTTGTACAGAGACTCCAAAACTTGTCTGTACTGTGGCTAAGAAGGAAAAAAAAACAGTGAAAGGTTAAGTTAGATTAACTGTACAACTTCACTTGGCTACCAAAAAAAAAGACTTCAGCTTTGATCCTGCAGACTGCAATGCTTTGGCAGCATCCAAAATATATAATAGTATGATGTGGGTGATTTATTAGAGGGCCGGGATAGAAAGAGACCCAAATATTTTGGAACAAACAAGGAGGATATGTCTTTTTGACATAGCAGTACGTGTCATATCACAGGATATATATGTCTATCACACAATTAAGCTAAGCAAGGTAAGATTATCACAATATCACACACTGCATAACCAAACCAGGTAGCTGGCTGCCTGGCTCTGCTCTTGATTTGGAGAATCAAAGGAAAATAAATACAGAGATCAGATGTTTTCAAATATCATATCTTGATAGGTATTTTTTACATTTGTAAGGGCATTTCCGTCCCTTCTCCCCTTACCTCCCCGGCCTTTTTGTGGGCCCAACTCCGATCCTCCACGTCACCATGTAATCCCCTCGTTTAGAGCATCCTTATTAGCAAATCTCTTACACAGTTTACTCATCCGCCAATGCTATGGAAGCATCCAACAGATCTCTGACTGAGAAGCCCGCAAAGTCCGTATCAGCTTCCATCCTAATACCATATTTTGTACGTCTGGAAACAATAAATTCCGTAAAAAGAAAAGGTGAACACAGTTAGATAGATAAGGAAATATGAGATACAAGTGAGAGAAAACAGATTAGATAGATGATGAAAAATTCAAGTAGTATGAAGTGCATGTTAAAGAGTGAGAGTCGAGATATATCATAGGGATAGAAAGAGACCCAATATTTTCGGAACGAACAAGGAGGGCATCATTTCCATAGTTGTTGTTTTGCTCTTCTTGAATCCACTTTGCAGAAGCCAGAACGGAATTCCTACAGTAGCTTAACTTAATCAATGTTAGTGTGATGATATCGGCGAAACCATGAGGGATTTCTTCCAACCAATAGTCCTCATGTAACTCTAAACATTTGAGCACAGGAAAATGGTCACCCACAGCATTCCAAAATCGGAGACGTCTGCACTTAATTACCAACCTCTTCAATCGACGGAAGCCTCCATCATTTGTCTCCCACATTATACCTCTGCAAGAATCAATCAGTTTTAGAACCTCCAGATTTGGTAACATACTTATAGGGCTCAGCTCACTCCACTCCAGATTAGACTTCAAGAAGCTGAGCTTCTTAAGATTTGGTAAACTAGTTGCCCATAGGAATCGGCTCAATGGAATATCTTCGAGATAACCCCAACTTCTGATGCTTAGTGTCTCAAGTTGCCCCAAGTGCACAACATTATAAAACCAATCATTATTATCATTGTATCGACCATCAACCCCCAATTTTTTTAAATTCGGAAGCATTGTAAACAGATCCTTTGTACATAACTTAGAATCCAACCAAGATATATTCTCTAAGTTTCTATGAACAACCAATGGGGATTCTAATGAAAAATTTCCTCCAATGCAAAAATTCCTTAATAGTGGCATTCTCCAAATTTTATATGCCTCAGAGGAATTCAATGTAACACCATCCCCACTAACAATAAGACTTTGCATATTCCAATGCTCAAAGAGCTTTACATGAAACGTTTCATCTGTAGACAAAGCTAAGTATCTCAAATGAACAAGATTTTCAAGCACATTTAGTGCCATATCTTTATGTGAAAATCTACCACTTATATCTACTACTCTTAGTAGTTTCAAGTGTGAAATTAGATAGTTCACATCTTCCTTATTCCAAAAATAGTAAAGACGAGTTACATAAAGGGAATGAGATTTGTGAAAGCACTCATCTAGAAACCTGAGGTCATAATAGAAATATCTTGATGTATCACTTAACCAATGACAATGTTTTTTAACTCCATTGACATTCAAGAGATTTTCAAGTCTAGCTTCTCTCAAGCACAAATCTCGCAACAAATCATGGATCCTTATTCTCTTCATTTTCCCATTGTAACTTTTTTTGCTAACTATAACAAGACTTCTATCGACAAGATCTTGCAAGCATTCCATGGCCACTTTCTCCAAATTCACATGCTTCACAGCCCTCAAAAATCCCTCTGCTGCCCACAACCTAATCAACTTCTTCACAGGGATCTCATAGTCTTCTTGGAAAACTCCAAAATATAGAAAACAGGCTTTTAAGTGGTGCGGTAATTGATTGTAACTCAAATAAAGTATTCTGGAACATACGTCACTAGAACCACCCATTACACTTTTTGCAACATTCTTCCACTTTTCCTCATCCTCTTCTGTCTTGGAGAGAAGACTAGCTACTATAGTAATAGCTAGAGGTAATCCTTTACATTTCTTCACTACATCTCTACCAATTTGCTCAAACACTAGAAGGAATTCAGGTTTACCAAAGACTTTGCAATAGAGATTCCAACTTTCATCGTCATCTAAGAAAGGCATGTTAAGAGGAGAGTTACCTGAGCTAGCATATTCTCCCACCTCTTTGAGCCGAGAAGTCAATAGTATACGACTTCCATTATTATCATCTGGAAAGCATCTTTGCACACTATCCCAAGCAGTAGTGCTCCATATATCATCCATCACTATCAAATATCTTTGTTCCTTCAAGTGTTTACGCAAGCGTTCAGCTAATTCGTCTTGGTTTTGTTTATGGAGTTCATCTCTTGATGCTCCAGTAACACAACTAAGAAAACATAGGAGCATTTGTTCTACGTTATACGCTTGGGATACAGTAACCCATGCTGGCTTGTCAAAATGAGAAGTAACAGATGGATCTTCATAAACTCTGCGTGCCAAAGTGGTCTTGCCTATTCCTCCCATGCCAACAATTGAAACAACTTGTCTCCCCTTAGTTGTTTGTTGCGTGAGCAGCTGATCCAATATCTTCTCGAACAGCTTCTCGCATCCGACCATTCCACCGTCAAACTTTGAGGCTTTTTTGGAAATGTTACTCACAATAATTTTCTTGTGTACTAGATGATGCCGTGATGATCTTTTGACAAGCTGTAGTCCTCTTTGTAGGATCCGACCAAGGAGTGAAACATCAGTGAGTCTTTGGTTTTGTGATGAAGCTGCCTTTGCAAGCTGCTGGTATTCAGTTTGAATCCTAATCAACTCATTCCTGTGGTAATCAGTCTGTTTTTCTGCTTCGTTGAAGATTTCATGAAGCCTGAGCAGGCAAGCAGTTATATGAAGGCTATCCTTTGCTAGATAAATGCTACTCAACTCCATCTCAATCCTTTCTTCCAATTTGAACGATGCATCTCTCATCTGCGCCTCTAAATCTTTCATCACCCTCGCATAATCATAGGGGATCTCAGATTTCTCAAGACTTTGTTGCAGCAAGCCCAGATTTTGATGGAGAGAAACTACCTTTTGTTTGACTTGAGCCACCTCCCTGAGCCGAGAAGTCAAAAGTATAGTATCCCAAGCAAGCTGCTGCTTTCTATGAAGCCTGGGGAGGCAAGCCTTTATACGAAGAAGACGCTGCTTCGTCCATCTCATCTCAGCCTCAAGAATTATTTGTTGCAGCAAGCCAAGATTTTGATTGGCATCGTCTCTGATCTGTGCCGCTAAATCATCAAGAGGAAAGGGTGGTTGTGATTGGAAGAAATTTAGAGAAAGTGTTTCCATAAGCGAAGTTACAGCAGCGTAAGCCATTTAATTTGCGTCTGTCTGTGGATCAGAGTAGATAGAACTAGGAAAAATTACAAAGAAATCAAAGTATTTTTTTTTGGGGTGAATAAGGCTGGGAAAACTAGTTTGCACACTCTACAAGAGATGGCTCCAAACGCATCTGATTTCCAAGCTGGCGGGCGTCCAAACTGGCGGGCGGCGACTCCAATGTAAACAGGAATTCGTTGGTCGACGCAACAGTCCAAACAAACAAATAACATTCAAACATTTTAGTTTTGACAATTTTATATTTTTATATCAAACATTTGTATCTTATGACAACTATATTAATCTCTATCTCTATATATCTACTATATCTACTATCTACTATACTAATAAGAGCCCAAAGAGAGTTAGGCCTATAATGGGTAAAAAAAATGGCGGTCAAATTTTTTAATCAAATGAATGACTCAGATTGATCAGATTTTAATTTTTCATTAAGATTTCCTAATTTATCCTTAATGAATATGATTATCCGTTAACTTTTCCGTTAAATGTTATCTTTTTCATTAATTTATGTTAGTTCACCGTTAACTTACTCATTGATTTCAATAAGAAAGGTCTTAGGTTCAAACCTCATCCCAATCAAAGTTGGTATAATTAGTACTCTATTTTACTCTTACTAAAGCCCAAGAGAGTTAGGCCTATAATGGGTAGAAAAAATGGCGGTCAAATTTTTTAATCAAATGAATGACTCAGATTGATCAGATTTTATTTTTTCATTAAGATTTCCTAATTTATCCTTAATGAATATGATTATCCGTTAACTTTTCCGTTAAATATTATCTTTTTCATTAATTTATATTAGTTCACCGTTAACTTAGTCATCGATTTCAATAAGAAAGGTCTTAGGTTCAAACCCCATCCCAATCAAAGTTGGTATAATTAGTACTCTATTTTACTCTTATTAAATTAAATAATAATTTATTAGCTACAACAAAAAATAATACATATGCATTTCTTTAATTTAAAATTATGTGTCTATAATGTCTTTATTCAAAAAAAATAATTCATTATCAATAAATTAAATAAGAAAAATAATTTCATTAGTTATATTGTATTTGTTTTGAGTTAATTACCAAAATGGTCCCATGACTATTGTGAAATTACTAATTTGGTCCTTGACTATTTTTTTTACCCAATAAAGTCCTCGACTTTGTAAATGTTAACCAATATGGTCCTCCGTTAGGTTTGGGGTCTAAAGTCTGTTAAAGTGGAGGATAATAAAGGAATTTCACCTGGTGAGCTAATCATAGATGACAAGCTTTTCATCGTCTCCCTAGTAGAAACCTCTGATCCCAACATTGGCTGGGCTGCCATTGGTGACGTAATCATAGATAACAAGCTTTTCATCGTCTCCCCAGTAGAAACCTCTAATCTGAACCAGATTGGGGTGCTGGAGCTTGACATTGGCTTTAACTTGATGCTCGAATTCCTTCATCTTCTTCACGCCGTTCTCTCCGATTCTCCTCACTGCAAAAGATGTGCCGTCTTCGAGAATAGCCTTGTAAACTATGCTGGCAGCGCTGGAACCCAGAATATATGCAAAGGCCTTTAACAGCGTCTCTAAATCGAGCTGGGTTTCTCTGTCGATCATCACCGTACCAGTGAACTCGGCTTCTTGTTCTTTTGACCAGTTCGTGGTCGGCGGCAGCGTCTTGGTTGGCCACCGGATGATCGTTTCTGTTATCGTCGGAGTCTGAGGCTGTGGCGTCGTCAGAAGTTTCGGTTTCTTCGCCGGCAACGATCCGTAACTTAAAAAAAGTTACAATTAAACCATCGAATAACTTAAAAAGATGCAATTCTACCAAGTAACAGGTTACTCTACTTTGTCACCGGTTACCTTGCTGAGGTGGCACTAATTTATATTATTTTATTATAATTTTTAAAAAAACAAAAAACAAAAAAGGCAGTCACGCAGTCTGCCTTCGATCGGAGAAGTTGGTCTCCGTTCAGTGACCGACGGTCTCTAGATCCAGGGAGACAAAGAAGCATCTTCGTCTCCATGGATCTGGAGATGAAAATCAGTGGAGACTGACCTTTGTCTCCATTGATCTTCTTCTCCATATCCATGGAGATGAAGATGTTTCTTCGTCTCCATAGATATATCAAAGTGTCCAGATCCATGGAGACGAAGAAGCATCTCCATCTCCATGGATTTGTGAGTCTCCATTGATCTCCATCTACATATCCATGGAGATGGAGATGCTTCTTCGTCTCCATGGATCTGGGGTCATTGGTCTCCGATCGGAGACCAGTCGAAGGCAGTGTCGTTGTTTTTTTTTTTTTTTTTTTTTTTTTAAGTATTTATAATAACAAAATTGTAACACCCTCGATTTTATGTATATTTTAAAACCGTTTAAGCTTAAGAAAGATATAACATCTAAACATTAATCATTAAATGAAGCAGAAGCTAATCTCATAAAACCGGGCAAGTGTTATGCCACACCTATACAACTATAGGTGCACAGGCTAAGTCTAACAAAATCATCAATAAACAAAGTCATAGTATTCAGGGCACACAGGCCACAAGTCTACTTAAGGAAGCCATAAAAGAGCTACGCTATCTAATCCATCTTCTAGCGCACTCGGGAGACTACTCATCCTGAAAACACAAGGGTAGCACCCGTCAGCGAATAATGTTGGTAACCCACCAATACACGTTAAGTATCATATCATATAGGTATAGGGAAAAGCAGTTGAGACAGTGGAATACTATATATATATCCTTTTAAAGCAAGAGATAGAGACGTAGTAAGATCCATCACACTCAATCAAAGATCAACGACAATGTTACTCAATAAGTCAAAAGACACCATACGATAACCGACCAAGAGATAACACCAAGCATGCTCATAAGTAATGAAAGACAAGACCATGTTCAACACAAATCATACTTTCCAAACAAGATAATTCAAAGATCACATATCAAATGACTAGTTCCAACCTTATGCCTTGTTCCAACCTTTTGGCTACCCCCGACCTTATTTTAGTTTCAACCTTTACCTCCGAGTGTCACCCTGTACACCAAGTCCAACCTTATTCTGCCTAGGACCGTCGTCCCGCACCAATCATACCACCAATCATTATACCGCCGAATTCTCAACACAAGAGGGTGCCGTTAAATATCGTAGTAACCATACCACCGATCTCATAAGCAAAGCTCAGTAACAATACCACCAATCTCATAATAACACATTGTCATCATCAAGAGGATTGAGGCTCATCAGTAGCCCAGTCAAGCATCAACAAACATAAACAATATATGCACAAGATCATGTCAAGGAATTAATCGATCGAATTCAAGGAAAAACATGATTCAACCATCAAATAACGATACAAAAACGATAGACCATAACCCAAGGTTAACATGATTCGCCACACAAGTTGCCAATCCTCATAAGGGAACGAAGGAACAACGCATACTAGCATCAACAACATCATAACTAGCATGTACATCAAAAGGATAAACATAACGGTTCAATTGAACATCAACGACTGTTAGGAATAAAGTGTAATAGTTTTGAAGAGCCAAATTTGTATTTTTAGAACCCCCTATTTTATTTTGAGTCTAAGTTGTCTATTAGTCTAAGTCCCAAGTCAAGCCATAAAAGTCTTCGAATTCTTAGCAAAATATACTTATCCAGAATGTTACTATTTGAGATTCATTTACCTTGGAAAACATCAAAGGTTGAAGTGGTGAAGTGGATAAGGGATAAGGTGACTAAAGTTAGAGGTCACGAGTTCGAGACTTAATCTCTACATTTTTTATGAAGAGATAAAGAAGGGGACGACGAAGGAGCTTATGGGGACGACCAAGGGGCAGACTCGGATTAATTTACGAATTAATCCAAAATGCTACTAAAGCCATTCTTGGAATAAAGATTAAATGCAGAATTATTAACTAATGAGTTAATATGGTGTAATGGCAAAAGCATAAGAGATATATGTTGTTAGGCTTGTGTTTGAATCTCATTGGAATCATATTTTTTTTTAAAGATGACACTTGTTGGATGCATGCTACAATGTGGACACATTAAGTTGACTACAAGTTTGGAAGCTTGTAGGATGATAAGGAAGATGCACGTAAATTCTTCTACACATCTTCTTTCTCATTTAAATCTCTTGCTATGAATCTCATATCACTTCAGAAGAAGAAATGGACGAAGATATAATTTTTACTCAAGCAAGAATCAACAGAAAATCTTTTGGAAGATTTCATCATTTTGAATCCGTCAAGATAAGGTAATTATTTTTCGGAGAAGATTCAGCTGATGAGCCGATATGTATGACTTTTGAAGATTTGTCAGGTGAGGATTTTCAAACTCACTATATGAAGCCCATCTCTTGCATTAAATCACCGCAATGCAAGTTGGCAATAATGTGTAGCTGATCAAGATGAACGATCAAGATCAACTAATGCTACAACGGTAATATAGCTTCTTCAGCTATATATACCAAGAAGACTTGAAGATACAAGCAAGGGTGAAAAGTAAAAAGAGCAAAGAGTGCAATACACGAAAAAGAGAAGGCAAGGCAATACAAAGAAGCAAAAATTCGAAAATATCTAATTTGAGCTTACACGAGAGATTCTTCAAGTCATTAGAAGAGAAATTTTGTTTTCTCTAAATTTTACCTCTACTGTGTGTAGAAAGAGGGTTGAGTGTAGCTTTGTGCAAGACACTACCCTATTGAGTGTAGCTTTGTGCGAGACACTCGTGAGTGTAGCTTTGTGCGAAACACTCGTGGTTGCTGAGTGTAGCTTTGTGCGAGACGCTCGGTGGTGCTAAGTGTAGCTGGGTGCAAGACACTTAGTTGGTGTAGGAGTATAGCTTTGTGCGAGATACTCGGGAGTATAGCTTTGTGCGACATACTCGGGATTGAGTGTAGCTGTGTGCAAAACACTCGGGAAGTGCCTGTGTGCACTTGATTCACTATTTGTATCTGGGTGAACGAGATAGTGAATTTCCTCCTTGGAGTGAAAGGAGAAGAGTGGACTAGGAGGATTACACCACCTCTGAACCACTATAAAATGCCTCTCTCATTTACTTACTGCCTTTATTTATTATTGCATGCATACTAACCCATTTACTATTCTTCTTATTCATTTATCTTATTGATTGGGTTATGTGACTTTACAAGTGCATGCAGACACAATTCCATTTGGATTCATT